TCTCCATGCTCTAATATTGTCGGAGGTATTTTTAACCATCGAAAAAAGTATCATTAAAAACATAGAAACACTGGTTATCGAATATTTCTTCGTCGCACTCATTACGTGGCAAGGATTCAAATGGAAATGTGTTCTCTGAGCATTTATTGGTTAATGTGACGTGGTATAAATAACCTGACCAGACGTCCCGTTTTGAACGGGACTGTCCCTTTTTATAATTACCAGTCCCGATGTCCCCGTAATGAACTCTGGGACGCAAAATTGTCCCGTTTTCGGAAACTTGAGTAGGTAGTCGAGCCGGCGGACGGCCGCCGCACTGGCCGGACACGAGCGAGAGCGAGACCGCACGTCAACGCGACCTAAGCCGTGATTGGCCAAGACGTCATCCGCGCGCACTTTGTTGACATGTGTTTGGCAGATTTTATTCTCGCATGCCTACTTCTCGTTATTTTGTTGTTATTAGTTTATTGTTAGTAGTTGTAGTCTACGTGAGACACGAGTAGATGCTCGTGTAGAGTAAACGATTTAAACTTCTTTTGTTTTGGATTCAAGCATAAGTTAAAATGCCGAAATGCAAGTGTTCGTTCAATATTAGCTTATAAGCAAAATATCCGTTTATGAAGCAAATACATACTCCGTCAGATGACAGATGCGAAAAGTGTCGTACAGAATTTAGTGTTTCCCACAGTGGTGCCGGTGATATTGAACAGCATTTAAAGTCTGAAAAACATAAAAATGCCGATCGTGCCGCCGCTTCAAGTTCTTCGATTTTTTCAAGAAATCGGACGCACCAACTTCACAGGATTTGGATACCGCAGCGGCAGAAGGCGTCTGGGCTTATCACACGATACAAGAAAACCACAGTTTTCGCTCTAATTATTGTGCATCGAAATTAATTCAATCATCCCAAATTTACATGCGCGCGTACGAAATCAGAAGCTATTATAGTAAATGTTTTGGCGCCGCAGCGATGAAAGAATTAAAAGACGATCTTGATAAGTGCAATTGTATTACAATACTAAACGACGCTTCAAACCACGGTAACAAGAAAATATACCCTATTGTAGTACGTTTTTTTCAACCTTACGTACGTGTGCTAGTCAAAATTTTAGATCTCCAAGACCAACCAGGTGAGACTTCTGATATCATTGTCAATTATTTAAGTCAAGTGTTGACAGATAATAATTTGACAGCAAAAGTTGTAGCATTTTGTGGGGACAATGCCAATGTCAACTTTGGCGGCGCGGCTAGACGAGGAACTAACAATGTGTTAACGAAATTACAATCATTTTTAAAAAAGCCATTAATAGGCATTGGATGTGGCGCCCATGTAATTCACAATGCAATAAAATCTGCTGCAGACGGGCTACCCTTAGATTATGAAAGTATTATTGTGAAAATATATTCTGATTCTGAAACTGAAACGGAATTTCAACACATGCTCGGCTATAGCAAAACCAGATGGCTTGCTCTTATGCCTGCCTTGGAAAGAGTTTTAAAAATGTATCAGCCATTAAAAAACTACTTTTTGAGTATTGAAAAATGTCCCCTGATGATAAAAAACTTTTTTGAAGATCCCACAGCCGATTTGTGGCTATATTTTTTACACGCTCAATCAGCAAGTTTTCATCAAGCTGTATTGAAACTTGAAGGTCAGACTGTATGGGCAATTGAAGCTGCAAAAGAAGTCAATCAACTAAAAGACAATTTGACTCAGAAACAGACCAATCAATTTATTCCATTTACGGTCCGTCAATTAATGGTGAAACTGAAAAAAAAATGGTACTGATATAGATGAAGAGTTTGTGAAAAGTACAGCTACAGAATTTTATAAAACAAGCTGTGAATATCTGGAGCAGTGGACTTGCTTTCTTACCAAATAAATGGAGATATTTTATTGGGCAGATTTAAAAAAGGTCCTTGCATGGAAAGACGTTCAAAAATCTTTCGATATAATCACTGAAAAGGAATATATTGACTGTAATAAGTATACAGAGGTTTTTGATAAATTTTCATTAATTTCTAAATATACTACGTTGCAACAAGTATCCGAATGGAATAATGTAAATGTTTCCGCGGAAACTCGTTGGGTGGAAGTATTCAAACACTTTCACGCTAACAATCTTCAGCATGAAAACTTTTCTATAATAATTGAATATATTTTATGTTTGCCTGCAACAAATGCTCCAGTAGAAAGAGTATTTTCTATGATGAACAAATTGTGGACATCTGAGAAAGCCCAGTTACAAATATCAGTTCTAAAGGCGATGTTGATAACTAAAGTGAATATAAAAAAAACGTGCCACGAATTTCATTCTTATTTGAAATCGTTACCAGCTATACTAAAGCAAATTTGTTCTTCTGATAAATATAAATATAACTAAGCTAACGAACTGTATAAACACTTACTTTTTTGTGAATAAAAAAAATTTANATTACGTTGGCATGCAAATGTTGTTGTGGAACCCTAATTAGTCCTTTTCTAATTGAAGTCGGAAACGTTAGTCGAGTGCATTGATCTTGTTTTACGAAACTAGAGCTATAATATCTGAATAACGGGTAATTTCTATCGTTTAGGGTTATGGTTGAGTAATTAACTTTGGTCCACATCTGATCAAGACTCTCTGAGTCAAGTAATGCGTCGAAATAGGAGTGAAATTTGACTCCAAAAAATTTTAAAAATTATTCTTCCAAAAACAAATCCACTACGATCGACCTACCGTGTTTACTTTGGAAATTTATGGTACGCAGAATAAAATTTTCGTTACACAAATAATTAGAAAAATAAATATTTGAAGGTTCGAGATTGATCAATGAATTAGTTGCCCTTTGTCTATTAATATTGTAGTGTGTGTGTTTGTGTGCGATCGGGCATACGTGTGCGTGATCCTAAAACGTTCCTTTTCGGAGACGAATTGTCGCAAATTATGAAACCTGAATTGGAAGAAAACACAAAAAGAATAGAAAATAAATTGGAAGAAAACAGTAGAAGTTTGGAAAATAAATTGGAAGTTTGGAACTTTGGAAAATAAATTGGAAGAAAAAAAAAGTAGTTTGGAGAATAAATGGGAAGAAAAATTTAATAAGAACATACAAGAAATAGAAGAGAAGATAAAAGTGCTGATTTTTAATGGAGTGATAAAACAAATCGAAGGGGATATTGGCGCATCTAGTACACTGAACGAAGCCAGCCAAATCAGTCAAGGAAGCGGTATAGAGGTAAAACCACCAACATTTGACGGAATGTCCTGAAGGACCACATACCACAAGCCAATCGAGGTGGCTGCTAAGGCGAATAACTGGGCGCCTGAAGAAAAAGCCACTGCATTGACCGTTGCGCTTCGTGAAGATACATGTGACATTTTGAACACCCCGGAAGAATTGGCGGATTATGAACAGTTGGTAAAACGGTTAGAGTTGCGCTACGACGAGGCTCATTTAACACCGGTGTATCACATCTAACTGAAAACCCGTCAGCAGAAACCAACGGAATCCCTACAAGAATTCGAGGCCGATATTGCGAGACTGTCTCGACTGGCATATCCTGATACTCCAGAAGAATTGATGGAAAGGTTGGCAGTGGAGGCATTTACTGATGGACATCGTGACAATGACACACAACGAATACGCCTTGGCCGACCTAAGACGCTAGCTGATGCATTGGCTCGTGCATTGGAACACGAAACTGTTAAACAGGCCTATAGCAAACAGAGAAGGGTTCGGTTCCTGTGCGGAGAAACGGATTAGCCAGAATCTTTAGAAGAAACCGTCTGCCGAATCATCTCCAAGTTCGATAAAGCAACTCGAAAGCTAAGATGTTGGAATTGCGGCGAACTAGGTCATACGATCATACGAGGAGGCAATATAGAAAAAGTACTCCTTCCCTAAGTACTCGACGTCAACGGGGCAAATGTTGACCCACGGACAAAAAGACCCCGGATTTATCGCATTTACCACCAGAATGACAGTCTACTCCAAGGTGAAAGAATAAATGGACGAAGATGCGTGTTTCTTTTGGACACTAAGGCCACTATGAGCACAGTAAAATCCAGCGTAGTCGAGGGTTCCAACCAGGTCGTATCAACTAAGTGGAGAGATGGACAGATATAGTAGGAATCTAACTAGTGAGCAAAAAAGCAAAGTGCAACATCTACTTTGTCAGAATGCCGACGTCTCTGAGACTGACAAGAATGGTAGGCGAAGGACCAATATCGTAAAACACAAGATCATTACTGGTAATGCGCAGCCTATTCGTCAAAGAGCTAGACGATTGCCCCTGGCCAAGAAGGAAGAAGCAGAGCGAATAATCTACGAAATGCAGGAGACCGACATAATTGAGCCATCCTCAAGTCTATGGACATCACCGGTAGTTTAGATAAATAAGGATGGGACAACCCATTTTTGTGTGGATTACCGGCAGCTCAACAACGTAACCAAGAAAGTCGTAAAAATCAATGTTTCGTTCAAGAGAAAGAAAAGCGGTTGCAATATAATGCAATGTTAGGAATATTTACGTGCATTTCTATCAGTAACTTAAAATATACTCACGCGGTGACGTCACTCCGCGAACCGGACGATTTTGGAACAGCTAGATATCATACCTTGCTTTATTGTACCATGACCGTTAACAATCTTTTTCGAATACTATTTTATAATGTTAATAATAATAATTATGTTTACACAAATACGCTCTTATAAGATGAAAGACGTATATTTTGATATACAACTATTTTTTGTAAGTACATATTTTTTAATAATAGATATTTTTTGAAAAATGGGGCAACCATCCGGCTTTTACCTCATGCTTAACGGTAACACACTTAACGGAATAAAACGAAGATCATGAAGTAGAAATAGTTAATTACAATTTCATCAGGATGGATTCTTCAGGTCGGGTCACAAGGGGAGTGTATACGTAACGTCACTGTAGTGTTTTCGGTTAGCTTTTCTATTGTACGGAACTAATATGGCGCGATGAAATAAAAAAGAAAACACTAACACAGAATTTGTTTTATGACTTTTAATAATCACAAGAAAAGATGGAGAAACTATTTACAATAACAGGAACAAAACAACCACAAAAAATAACAATAACGATTATAACAATGTATGCGTAAACTTACTAAATAGCACGAAGAAAAGAAGTAGAAAAACTCAGAAGAACTAATTAACTTATGTAATGAAATAAAAACTTAGTGGAAAGCTAGAGTCAGCAAAATGGATCGAAAGAGCTGACGCCTTTCCTCTACAGTTGTACAGAATAGACAGGAAAGTGTGTGTGTATCGTCGATCTGATAAAGTAGACGCAGAGGTATGAGTGAATCCCCTGACGAGGTCGACAGAAGCAGATTACAACATCGTCGTGATACATTCTGCAGCTGTGACAGAAAAATAGAGGTGTGTAATCAAGACATTCTTAACATAGTCCTGTTGCAACGTCACAGCTTTCACGAAGACGTCGACAGATGTTGCATCGCAACCGGGTGATGGATACCATTGTGTTGGTTGTTTGTCTGAATGGCGAAAGGACAATGAATACACGAGAAACAACCAAACCGCTCCACGTCGGGACGTCGCCTCCACACTTTTTTGCAGATCCCAGCTTGTTCTTACCCGGTGCCACAGTCGTGGTGGTTGTGACAACGGATAACGCCACAACCGTCGTAACGACTCCACCTATATCATACTGCAAACAAAAACGTAATTGTATTAAACATTACACAACTAATACAAAAAATTTCAGTAAATACATTCAGTTAACCTTCCGTCGGGCGCAAGTCACATTCGGACATTACAGGGCGCAACTAATCTCTCAGATTAAAAATAATATATGTCTTTCTGTCATGAAAAAAAGTGTTTTAAAATAAAATACAGTACTTTTATACAATGTTTTATATTAATAGAACAATAAGATGATAAAAAAATGCCATTCAAGATAGTAATGAGGCTCTTAATATAACTAAGTCATTTTTTAATAGAATAACTGGTAAATACTAAGGAGTCATTTATGAAGAGTTACATCAAATGGTTCTAGGTTTCTAATCACTATCGTAATTATCAACCACATAGAAAACAGGGTCTCAACATTTGCCACCAACCATATTTGCGTTCTCTAAACAAAAAATACATGCATACATTTTTTACATGCATATTTGGAGTATCTAATTTTTTTAGATTTCTGCATTTGAAGCTGCTCTTTGTTTGTCCTTCGTGACAAGTGTTAGGTGCGCTGGGTTTTTAAGATTAAGGTTTAAATTTGGATAGTTCCTGCTGTAGTTCAATAGGCGTTCCAAATGTTTTAGAAGCTCGCCTTTGAAGTTGTTGTAAACACAACTCGTGAGATAAAGTTTTCAAAGACGTCCTTTTAGTTTTATCAATATTATTATTATTTTTATAAAAATTATTATTATTAAGTAGAATATTAAAAGAAATCCCCAAAAATACAATTTTTACAATTTCACATGATCAGGCTCAACTCACCCTACAGATTACGAACATACGACCAGCAGTTAGTAAAACGGTAACAATATTGTTTTTTTGTTTATTTGTCGCGTGACGGTAATTAGAGAAGCTACTTGTTGAGCCCCTACACCGCCTCACACAAAAGTACGAATTTGACAAAAGAAAAACGCATCACTTCATCTCTCAGATTATATGCGCCCGACGAAAGGTTAATATAACATTACTTGCAGCACCCGTCCTACATTTCCCAAAACGGCACTTCCATACATTTTAGGCAAACATCCTTCCCAATTTCTTCTATTTACACCACTCAACTTTCAACAATAGAATGAGACAGCGCTCTCCGCTTACCAACTTCTCCCCTCTTATCCCGCATCCTCCTACAGAAGTTCTTCGCCTCCCAATCATCATCGGAATGCGGTTTGCAAAACGAGAAGATCCAAATAAGAGTAAAGTCAACCCTACCTATAGGAAACAAACAAAATTGGTCGAAACACCCACTAGAATCATAACAACCAAAAAGAAAAATAAAACCAATTTCTTTTGTTGCAGACGATTTATTAGAAACTGAAAATGAAAATCATCTTGGCCATAACGGAACTCCTCATAACAGTAGAAACTAAGGACGACTTCATTCTAACTATGTTACCTGTACAAAGAGGAGATATATAAATTAATAACACACTATCATAACTTCATTATCCATTTAAATTTTAGTAGCATCAGTAATATAATGTTTAAATATCACAATTCTTTAGTAGAGATTAGTAGTAAAATTAACACAACTAATAGATTAAGTCAGTTATTAAGAAAATCCCTAAGTCACTTTAACTTTGTTAACGAACTTTAAAATAGCTTTAGGACTTTTGTTGGTGCCAACGCAGAATTAAATGAAATAAACAATTTTTTATCAAGTCAACAACACCCCAATAAAATAGAAAAATATGACTCTTAACGAAGGCATAACATACCAGGTCGGTCACCACATTTTGGTGGCTTATGGGAAATCGCAATTAAATCCCTGGCGATGCCTCATTCACTTTCGAAGAGCTAAATGCACTATTGACTGAAGTTGAAGCCATTTTAAATTCACGTCCGTTAACCCCATTTCTAATGATCATAATGATCTATCCTTCCTTACTCCCGGTCATTTCCTGATTGGAGAGTCCATGACTTCTGTTCCGAAAATTAATTTTAAATTCATTCCGACAACACGTCTATCCCGACGGCAACGCATCTTCCAAGTAGAGCAACATTTCTGGAGTAGTTGATCAAGGGAATATTTGGGTCAACTTCATCAGAGATCTAAATGGAAAATATCAACAGGGCCGCGGTTGGAACGAGCACAGTTGGTACTTCTGAGAGAGGACAATCTCCCACCTTTGAGATGGAAGTAACGAACAAACTATCCATCCTCCCTATTGAAGGTTTCGAACCACGAAAAAAAAACACAATGATAAGTGTTCCGTGGTATCGAACCGTTTGGGGAGTGTTGGGATTTCTGTGAGTCATCTAAATTTGAAAACCCAATACATGCGCACGTGCGTGCACAATAGATCCACAAACAATTTGCGAACAATAGATAGAAATAAAGTTTCGTGTCGATATTACTTGGCCCAAGTTATCTACATTGATTCGAAAATACGTGACTAACATAATAACCTCTAACCGAAGGTCAAGGGCAGTCCAACACAAACCACCCTGTTTGGGTTTTTTTCCATCCCGCTTAATTTAAGGAATTTGGCGGTGGTGGTAAACAAAGGAAATATATTCACATTATTAAAACATCACGTTAGGAGGCGCTATACGTGGAAGATGCCAGGTGATTTAAGGAGATACCAGTTAGATTATATACTTGTTAGGCAAATATGCAAAAAACAAGTGAAGGGCTGTAGGAGTTATCCGGGAGCAGATATAGGTAGCGATCATAACTTAGTAGTTGTGAAGACCAATCTTAAATTCAAAATTCTGAAAAAGAGGGAAGGTAGGAGACGTCTCGACTGATAGCCTAGGTAAAAGGACAGACGAAATACTAAAGGCGGCGGGAGAAACGAATAACGGGGACATAGAGACAGAATGGAACTGCATTAAAACGTGCCTAAAGTCAGCAGCTACAGATATACTAGGTCTTAAACAAAACGAAAGTAGGAAATCCGGGATAACAAATGAGATTGTAGGATTAATAGACGAAAGGCGAAAAACAAAAACAGGACAGACGAAGAAGGGCAAAAAAGACATAAAGCTATAAAGTGAGAAATAATTAGGATGTGTAGGGCAGGTAAGGAACAGTGGATTGCTAGGATGTGTAAAGAAGTAGAAGAAAAGTTTGAAGTAGGTAAAACCGATGAGACGTATAATATAATTAATAGGAATTTTAGAGATGTACAATTAGCTTAACTTCCGATACGTCAAAAACCTTAACTAGAATTGTACAGAGGAGGATGGAAAAAAGGGCGGAAGAACTATTAGGGGAAGATCAATTTGGGTTTAGAAGAAATAGAAGAACGCGCGAGGCCATTCTAGCTTTACGGGCAACAATACAAAAAACGATAGAAAAGGAAAGAGTGCGTACATAGGATTTGTCGATTTAGAGAAAGCTTTTGACAATGTTAAATGGGTCAAGATGTTAAATATACTTAAAAATGTAGGGATGAGTTACAAAGATAGAAGAATGATACTTAGTTTGTATAAAGAGCAACAGGTAGTTATAGAGCTGGGGCTGCAACGTAGAGAAGTAAATATTAGGAAGAGAGTCAGACAGGGATGCACACTGTCCCCGCTACTTTTTAATCTAAACATCGAAGACGCCATCAACATTATTAAAGACAGTACAACTGTGTGCAAGGGCAAAAGATTAGTATGCTTAGATTTGCAGATGATATAGCAGTATTAGCATCTAGCAAGGAGGACCTAGAGATAGCTTTAAATAAAATGGAAGCGGTATTGACAGATCAATACTGTATGAAAATAAATAAAAGTAAAACTAAAATACTGGTATGCAAGGGAAGAAAAAGTAGGGAAAGAGCGAATATAAAGATAGAAGGCGAAAAATTAGAAGAAGTGGCTGATTTTAGATACCTAGGAAGTCAGATAAGTCAGGATGGAAGGAGTAGTAGGGATATAAAGCAGAGGATAGCGCAGGGTCGTGTCGCCTTCAATAAAAAGAAGTTACTTCTATGCTCGCGAACGGTTAATTTAGAAATTCGAAAAAGGTTGTTAAAAGTGTATGTTTGGAGCAAGGCGTTGTACGGGTGCGAAACATGGACAGTAAGCGCGACGGAAAAGAAAAGGTCAGTAGCGTTCGAAATGTGGTGTTATAGGCGGATGATGAGGATAACGTGGGTAGAAAAGGTTAAAAAAAGAAGAGGTATTAGAAAGAATAGGAGAACAGAGGACTCTATGGAACTCAATCAAAAATAGGCGAGATAGGTTGGTAGGACACCTTCTCAGGCATGAAGGTCTAGTCAGAGACATACTAGAGGCAGAAACAGGAGTTAAGAGGGGTAGAGGTAGACCTAGATTAGATTACTGTTCGCAAACAGTTAAGGATGTGGGCTGTTCTAGTTTTAGGGAAATGCGAAGTTTAGCTCAGGATAGGAAAGAGTGGAGGTACATGTCCAACCAGTCTTAGGACTAATGAGCTTATGATGATGATGATGTTTTCACGACAACAATATTCATGGCGGTAGTCTCCCCGTTCTCAAATGTAATCAATGAGCGTTTGAATCAAACAAGGGTCAATAAAAGCAGGTGCAAAATCTATTAAAGTGAAAGGAAAAGGTCCTGGACAACCATAGTACAAGAGTGCGTGCAAAAATATAACTTGACAAAACACGGTGTCACTCGATTCGCACCAGCTTACCTTATGGATGGTACAAACATCTCAATTTTACCAGAACTGAAGGAAGAAGAAGAACGATTTATTGCGGGAAAATTCAAATAAGATGTGTAAACAATTTGATAAACATCATAGACAAGCGAGAACTTATTCACCGGATGAACTAAGGTACCCGTAAGTTATTTTGAAAATATCATATTTACAAACCTGCATTGACTGTCCGTTTATTAATTAATGTATACCTGTCCTTAGGTTATCGTATTAAAGGACTTGCACTTGTAAAATGTTTATTATTATTTTTTTCTGTAACCACGTGGTTGGCGGATATTAAGGCCTATTAAATTTTACTATACGCCTTATTATACTCCTATTTTTTTAAACTGCTATATAAGTAGGAACGTGTTTTTAAAATGTTTGTTGGTGGGTAGTATGTATGTACTTATACATTTTCAATTTATTTATCATTGTTTCAGTGCTTACGGTCACGATGCCTCCCAAACGGGCATTGTGGTCAGAAGACGATCTGATCGGAGCTGTTAGAGCAATACAAAGAGGAACTTTGAGTATGTATAAGGCTGCAGAGAGATATAAGGTTCCTAGAAGATCAATCAGAAATCATCTGCAGTCTGGCAGTTTAAAGAAAAGTTTGGGACGTAAACCTATATTAAATGATGAAGAGGAAGCTCAACTCGTGCAAAGGATAATCCGGTATTCTGAAATGGGCTTACCTGTGACACCAAAAATATTGCGTCAATTGGTGTATAAATATTGTGAGCAAAATAATATAAAACACAAATTTAATGATGAGGGCAAACGCACAGGCAAAGACTGGTTCAAAGCGTTCATGAAAAGACACCATGAAATATCCGTAAGAAAAGCGCAATTCATGAACCCAGCTAGAGCCCAAAAGCTAAATAAATTTATTGTTGATAACCATTTTCAAAACTGAGAAATATCTACGATAAATTTGACTTATATGATCATCTCGAGAAAATTTATAATATGGATGAGAAAGGATGCCGACTCACTATCCACCACCAGCTAAGTGTTTTGGCCAAAAAAGGGGCTAAAAGGGTTCATTTGCAGTCTTCGGAACATGCTGAAAGCGTTGCCATCGCAGGATGTGTTAACGCTCTTGGCACAGCCATCCCACCTATGGTCATTTTAAAGGAAAACGTTTGAAACCAGAATTGTACGATAATTTGCCTCAAGGATCTTTAGTACAAAAATCAGCAAAGGGGTATATGACCAATGAACTTTTCAAAATATTTTTAAAACACTTGTCTAGATACAAAAGCCAGGGACATGCCTTTTGATATTTGACGGAGCAGCATATCATTTAGATCTTTCCATAGTCGATATATCCGATTCACTTGGCATTAATTTGTACTGCCTACCTTCAAATACAACCCATGAATTACAGCCCCTCGACAAAGCCGTATATCGACCATTCGAGCACCACTGGGATGCTGAATTGTTATCATTTTTGGACCAAAACAGACACAAAAAACTCACTAAAGCACGCTTTAATATCATTCCTTCAAGCGTTTGGTCTGAATGTATGACACACAGCAATATAACGAGTGGCTTTAAAGCGACTAGCTTGTATCCCTTCAACCTACAGGCCATACCAGAAACAGCTTTTGTCCCTTCCATTTTAATGGAAGCTCCTGCACCAAATGGTGCACAAGAAAACGCACCAGCTCTCGAACATCGTCATGCACAAGCTTCAGAATCCGGAGATACAACAGCGTCTATTTTATCGGAAACCTCAACGCCTGATCGTGATCAAGAAAATATACCACCTATTAATAGTGATCAACAGAAGAGTTCAGAATCTGCTACTAGTTCACCATCAATTTTGACACTGATTCCAATACCCGATGTCTCGGTTGGAAATATTTCACCTGTTGATTGTCTTCGACTAGGATGGACGATGCAATGAGGCAATGCTCGCGATGCTCCAAGTGGTACCACGAAGAGTGTGTCGGTTTGACGTTCGAAATTGTAAACGAAGCGCACAAGGGGAAAAGACGTATGATTTATTAAAACAAAATTATTATTTTCCAAAAATGAGGGAATTTATCAGTAACTACATTAATAGATGCATAAATTGCATGTACTATAAAANACCTATTAATAGTGATCAACAGAAGAGTTCAGAATCTGCTACTAGTTCACCATCAATTTTGACACTGATTCCAATACCCGATGTCTCGGTTGGAAATATTTCACCTGTTGATTGTCTTCGACCAGCGACTCCAGAACAAACTAAGCAATCACCAGCTATAGCATCAACATCCACAGGTCAGGTCTCAAGAGAATCAATCGTGCAATGCAGCTATTATCGCACAGTTTATGGAACAAGCTCTAGTTCAGAGGAATCTGATGATTTACCACTCAGTCAGTTGAAAAGAAATGATTTTTATGATCTTCTGCCTACGCCTGTTAAAGTTCAAACATGCACACCGACTGTTAGACGAAAAGCCATTAATTATCGAGGTACTCTTGTCAAAAAAGATCTATTTGATAAATATAGGGTGTCCCAGTTATAATAATTCATATTTATACCACAGATTCCTACGGACATTTGGAACATAAAATGTTATAACACTTTTGACTTTTGAAACAAAATAAAAAATTATAAAATTAATTCCAGCTGATCGTAGAAAAATTCACCTTCAGTAGGTCGGAATCAGCTGGTTTTTGGGGTGATGTTATTGTTTACGTTTGGTATTAAGTTACAGATCAGCTGAAGAAAATGCACGCGCGTTAAGGTCCATTAGATGACTGAAACATGTTAGAAAAACTATGTACCTATAACAATAGAAAAACCCATGATCGTAAACTGAAGTGGACCTAATGTAGTCCATGACGTCGAGTATTATGTTATTTTAAATAGAAAAGAAATTTTAATGACTACGGAATCGTTACAAGCGGGTGCAAAAACAACCCTCACCACCCAGCGTTTGGTAAAAGTTTGTAACATAACGTAATGGCGTACGAAAACAAATGTATGTGTTAGGGTTGTAAAAGTTGAGACAAGATGCAGAGCTACTTTGACCATTCACATGAGTTAAACGTTAGTTTTGCTTGGCAGGGCTCATTAACCCCACGTGGGGTAATACAAGGGTGTGTCCAGAAGGATCAATTTTGG